ATATTGAACCACCCCTGCATACCTGGGATGAAGTTGGTCATGATGGATGATATCTTTGATGTGTTCTTGTATTCAGTTTGCGAGTGTTTTGTTGAGTATTTTTGCGTCAATGTTCATAAGGGAGATTGGCCTGAAGTTCTCTTTTTTTTGTTGGGTTTTTGTGAGGTTTAGGTACCAAGGTGACTGTGGCTTCATAGAATGAGTTTGGTAATGTTCCTTCTGTTTCTATTTTGTGGAATAGTTTGAAGAGAACTGGAGAATCCAGCTGGTTTTGAACTCACAAAGATCCGCCTGCCTCTGCCTCCCGAGTGCTGGGATTAAAGGCATGTAATGCCACAGCCGGCTTTTTTTTGTGAGACTTTTAGATATGAGCACTGTATTGACATAAATTTACCACTCCTGCTCCCCTTCCCCCTCTCCCATGCCCACGGCCACTGCCTTTCAAATGCATGACATCTTCACTTATGACTGTTTTACAGCCACCGTCTACCAAGTCGGTAAATTCACGTGATCATCTGTTTACGGCTGACCACCTGGAATTGGATAACCAATCGGGGAGCTCATCCCTAGAGAAAACTGTTGTCCCCTCCCTCAACAGCCGGCCCCAGATAAAATGTCTGCCCCAGCTAGCCCCTGCGTTCTCTTTCACTTTGGAACTGTCTTTCTCTTTGAGGGTTGCATCAGGTTGATGGAAGGAAAGGAAAGTCCCAGTGTGGTGGGAGCCTTGAGCTTGGCGCTGGGTTGCTTGACTCATCCGGCAGGAGTCTTAATGTCTTGTTCGGGGAACTTGTGGAATCTCCCTCTCTGGAATTATTATTTTTTTTTTTAATGGAAGAAATTTTCATTTCCTGGGGTTGTTTAAAAGGGTTTTGGCTTTAGGGCAAGGAAAAAAACTTGATGACTTAGAGAGGGTAAGTTTCCATGACTTTAAGATCCTTGTGGATTTGTGAAGACTTGGAATGTATAAACTAAATATCCTTCAGTGACAGTTTTTTTTTCTTTTAAATCACTTTAGTTATTTAAAAAAAATGTAAATTCAGCTCTGTCACTGGTCATAAGTTTGTTAGCTAGCAACACAAACAAAAGACAGCTAACAAATTTAGAGCAGCAGAATTTCGTGGAAAGGCCCAGAACATTCCATTGCAGTAGAATCAGGGAAGAGCAATGAATCAGAAAGCATCGGCTATGAATAGATTTTGATCAACAGGACACCATAAAGCCTGCTTTCCTGGGAGCCAGGGTCCCAGGATACTCGGTGAATGGGTCATTACCCATCTGGATGATCGTTTGAGGTGATCCAGACGTGCCTTTGACAGCCCTCAATACGTGTGTGTGTGTGTGTGTGTGTGTGTGTGTGTGTGTGTGAACACTGTCTTATTTTTTTCCCTTGGTGGATGAGCAGATTACTCTCCATGACCTGAGTTGACTCAAGTGTGTCCTTGACAGCCCTCAAGACTCCCTAGAACTCCTGGCTTCTCACACTCTTTATCCTCCAGCTCTGATCCGCGTGGCCCCATTCCACCCTGCTCTAACCTGTGTCTCTGCCTTGCCAGCACCCTAGTGCCTTCCTCTTCTGGCACCACGTGTGGCCTCCCTCTGATGTGTCATGTCAGCAGTCAGATCAATGGCACCACTAAGTTGGAGCCTGGAGATGCCAGTGTGGCATATGCCTGCAAGATGATGTGTGAGCTGGGGGTGGAAGGGGAGAGGTGGCTGGCTCATTTACAGGAGCCAATTTGTTTTGATGAACTCGGAGGGGCTGAGTAATATGTTTTCCTCCTTAATCTGATTCCCACAATCCGTGGCTGAAAGCAGCAAGGAAAAGGGTGGGCTGGACTCCCTGTGACTTGAAGAAACTTTGACCAGAGGACGTTGGGTAGTACGGATTTCACTCTGTGGGTGGAGGCAACCTCTCAAAGAAGAGTGCCTCTGGGTGGAGGCAACCTCTCAAAGAAGTGGAACTGGGGCTGAGGGCTATGTGGGTGGGGGAAGGAGGAGGAGGAAGACATAACTTCTGATGCAAACAACTGCACACTCAAGAATTCTACAGCTCTTGGGCTCAGTGCCAAGGGCACTGCCAGTAGGGATAAACATTCTGGAAGGGACCTCTGCGTGGCATTTAGAACTGAGACCGACTCCCTCCTCCTCCCCTCCCCCACACCCTCTGCCTCTGGGAAGCCTTCTCTTCCTCAAGGAGCCCTGTGACTGACTCAGCCTGTGTTTTCTCCTGAATCTGCATCTGCTACCTTGCTTTAGAAGGCGGAAACTTCCTAGCATTTGCCCCCGACTCACGCCTCCCTTAGCAATTTCGTTCCGCCTCCCAGGACTGACTACCTGGGTTTTCTCCTCCCAGCCCTGTCTCTCTGAAACCACCTGCTCTGTATTTCCAAGAGGAGGGTTTCCTAGACAGGTGGGCTGCAGTCTCAGCTACATAGGGTAAGGATAACCCAGGAATTCGGCTAGGGAGAAGGTTTGGCTGGACCTTCTGAGGTGCCTAAGCATAAACATAAGGACCTAACTTTCTTTCCCAGCAAGTACACATGCCCTCCCCCTCTCTCCCCACCACCCACCACCACTCACCCCCGAAAAGAAAATAAAACAATCCTCAGAAGATTTATAACCTCCGATACTTGGGCTGCACCCCCAGGCCCGTTAACTGGGCATTGGTTTTAGTGTGTTTTCTCTTTGTTCGTTTTTCTGTTGTATTTTACTCTCTCAGTCATGTAGAATTGTTTCTCCTCTGACCTCTGACAGAATTTTGTCAAACCTGCTCAAGAAAGAAATCCGATGTTTCTCAAATCTGGCTCAAGAACCAGCCTTTAAAGCCTCGGGACTTGGAACAAGCTTGTTAATCTCTCTTTACCCCCTTTTCCTTTAAGATGGGGCTGAGAGGTTAATACTAGCACATCAGGAGGACTTTGGAGAATTAAAAGCGAGCCTCGAGTCTGACAAGTAACAGGCCATGACCAACAAAAGTCAGCTGTTGGAGTTCTGAGGCCTCAGAAAGATACATGGAGGAAGGATGTCTAATCCAGAGAGCTCTACACACATAAGGATCCCTTAGAATGCTTCTTTAACTTTTGTTTTGTCTTGTTTTTCAAGACAGGGTTTGTCTGTGTAGCCCTGGCTGTCCTAGACTCACTTTGTAGACCAGGCTGTTCTCGAACTCAGAGATCCAATTTCCTCTGCCTCCCTGAGTGCTGGGATTAAAGTCGTGTGACACCACACTTAGCAGATGCTTCTTGAAAAATCCCCACTTGTGCCATCTTTCAGGGCCTGTGATCCCAAAGTCTGAGCATGGCTTTCTGAGAAGCTCCAGGCAGTCCACTTGCCGGGAGTCTAAGGACACAGCTTCTACTCTCCTTTCCTCTCACTTCAGGCCTCAGCCCAGGGAGTGTCCTGAAGCCAACTTTAGATCTTTGACCAAGTCTAGACTTCAGACACGGTTTCCCAACAGCCAGTTTGGATCAATTATTAACCCAGCTCTCTCGGCTCCATAAATTTCCCATCTCATACTCTAGACTAGAATCCAACTGCCCTTCACATGCCAAAGCAGAATGTCTAAGAACTGAGATGACTCCTAAGGCAAATGTACTTCAAATTCAACCCCATCTCTGTATCATCAGCAACCCATCAGGCCTTAAATTAGCAGCCATGACATTGTACAAAACACACAAGGCCTGAATCTAAAGACCTGACACTTGGAAGGCTCTAAAATCCAAGCTTCTCAGTCATAAGTATGACATCGCAGATATAAAATTTCACACCATATAACCTGATTTCATGCACAAAATTACTGAATAGAGTATAAAGTCACCTTCAAGGTCTTTTAAAGAGGTGAACCTACCAATTAAGTGCATTTTTTGTGTGTGCCTGAGTCTTGTTTCTATTATGTGTCCATATTCTAAAATCTGGATAAGAAATCCTCCATCCAAAACACTTCTAGCACCAAGCATTTGGGAGAAGGTAAGAGGCCTTCAGTCTTGAGTGGAAAAGGCTCTGCTTCTCTCTTGCCTTGCCTTGGGGACCTCACAGAGCTCAGTGGTTGCCAGAACTCCAGGCCTTGCTTCCTGTATCCCATGATTTGAATCCCTCCAATTGTCAGATTGCCTCCCTAATAAGGCCTCCAGGCAGCCCCTTTAGGTAAGGCGACTGTACTGGCTTCTCACTCTGAGGAGTGTGGCATCATGACCTGCACTTTCCTGGAGCAGGACAGAGCTCTCTATCCCAGTGTCCATGACCTTCATTATGGCTTTCTTAGTGAGAGTTCAGTGTCTGAGTTTGTGTGTGTGTGCATGCATGCAATGTTTGTCTTTCTGATCTGCTCATTAGAGGTATGTCAACCTACACACACACACACACACACACACACACACACACACGCTCATATATGTATGTGAATGTGTATGTGCATGTTTATATGCGTGGAGGCCAGAGGTCAACTTCATTTTGGTTCCTCACTAAACCCAGAGCTCCCCACCGACTGGGCTAACCGGCAAGTGATTTCAGGGGTTCACGTGTATCTGCCCCACCCCACAGAGCTGGGGTTACAGAGCGTGCTGCTCCACTCCCTGCTTTCACATGAATGCTGATGATCTGCACACGTTTGAGGTAGCCATTCCATGACTGATCGTGCCCTCACTGCGCCTTGCCCTTCACCCTGAGCTGTAGATGTGGCCCTTACCTCTGCGCGGCCACGCTATACACCTCATTACACTCTCCCTTTAAACTCTATTTTGCTTCCATTTTAGCCGAAGACCATTAGACTAAGTACTGTACACATTATTATCTCCTGAATGAATTTCCCCAATCGTTTTTAGTGTGCAAGGTCAAAGCCCAATGAGCTGGAATCCCAGCCCTTGAATTGGCTCTCCACCCGAACAACCCTACCTCCCATCCTTCTCCAATCAGCATCGCTCCCTGGGGGCTGCAGTTTTACATCAGTGAAGGGCGTATTAATTAAAGCCAATGAAAATGCTCATTTGTTGTAATGAATTTAGCTCTTGCAGACCATTTTCTTTGGGGTCGCCTGCCTGGATGATGTGCTGAAAAGAGTCAAAGGAAGAAAAGACATCAAGTTCATCACGTCCTTCAGAGATCTCCTCTTTACCACGTTGGCTTTTCCTATCTCCACAGTAAGTGCCCAGATGGGTATCCAACATCATCATCGTCAGGTACAATGGTGGATCCTTCTCCTGGAACAGCAAGGTTGTCTGGGGACTAGGGACTGTAACCAGAGCATCTACATTTCCATATACTTCCTGTCTGGGACTGACCACACTGATCAGTATCACCAGGTCTAGGGTACACAGCGGAGAAGCCCATCATTAACTTTCTATCTGTATGAAGGTTTTGAGCCTGGTCCTTGTTGCTGCCTGGTGGGAAAGTTTAATCAAAATACAATCAGATCTCTATGTTTGTGGGTTTGGCACCCACAATTTCAACTAAATATGAATCAAAAATATTTGACAAATGATTAAAAAAATCAAGTTCAAATACTTAAAACAATGATGTAACATTTACATCATACTGGACATTATAAGCAGTCTCTAGCTAATTTAGTCCACACAGGGGAAGCAAATGTGTCTTGTGAAAATATGATTCCATTTCATATAGAAAACTTGAGCATCTGTGGGTTGTGGTATCCTTGGGAAGGCTGAGGGATGACCGTATGACTGGGACAGCCTGGCTTCCATCATGATGACGGGAAGGAGAGCCCTTGGTGGGAAAAATGATCTACTTCCCTTTTTATAAATCTGGAAAGCTATCAAATACAAAATTTGTTAAAAAAAAAAAATAAAAGACATAAGACCTCAAAGTTGGGCCACAGAAAACACAAATCAGGAGAGAATGGCAGCCCAGTGCCGAGCAGGGGGCAGGGGTTACACTCAGTGTGTCCCGGGTACAGAAGTCAGGCAAAGCAAGCAGTGTCTCAGCAGAGGCTTGTTTTCCAGTGCTGTCCACACTGCTATTCCATCGTTCATGCTTCCAGTCACTTAGCTCAGATTGACACAGACTGAGACCACACCTGCTGGCTGTGCAGCGGGGCTCGGGATTCCTCTTGTCAGTGTTTCTTATGGCTCTGAGACTTCAAAACTAAAGGCAGAGTGAAACTCTCCATCTCTGGTGAGAGCTCAGAGGAAGCAAGAGCTTAGCATCCCAGGTTTCTTTGTGGACACCTCCACCTCCACGCTCTGGAAATCTTCTAAAGTCCAAGGGTCTAAAAGGAACAATGGAGTCTGTCCATTTTTCTTGCTTATAAATAATCCAGTGCTTAGCTACACTGCAAACCTTCCTGTTGTTCTTTACCATGACTTCTTAAAGGCAGGAGGGGGTCAAGTATATATATGTAAACGTACATAATCACATACACACACACACTCAGTTGATAAAGAGATAGAGCATTGATAACAAGGAAGGACTTGTAGTCTAGGCATCTTTATTTGTGTCTTCTCTGCCTGCCATGATGGCCATCGTTGCTTCTCTTGGGGGGGGAGGGTTTCTAGACAGGGTTTCTCTGTGTAGTCTTGGCGGTTCTGGACTCACTCTGTAGACCAAGCTGGCCTCAAACTCACAGAGATCTACCTGCCTTTGCCTCCCAAGTGCTGGGATTAACAGTGTGAGCCATCACGCCCTGCTCCATCTTTGCTTTCTAACACATTGCACTCATTGAAGAATCCCCAGAGAACCAGGATACAGCTGTGTTACAGTGTTTCCTCCTTCATTTTATGTCTATGAAATATATATACGATATCCTTCAAACCACCATCATTTTTTATGTTCCCGTTTCCTTTGTTAGCCTAGAAACCTGTGATGAAAACAAACCCAATAATGGTATCTTTGTGTTTCCTTTCCAGTTTGTGTTTTTGGTATTCTGGGCCCTCTTTTTCTACGATCGGAATCTGGTTTATCCCAAAGGCCTTGATGAATTCTTTCCAGCATGGACTAATCACGCAATGGTGAGTGGAAGGAAGTGACTGAACACAGAAGTCAGTGGCTTCCATACTGAACACGAAAGGGTCCCGTCTGTGTGTGCTTCTAAACTGTCCTTCATCGCCCTCCTCCTCACTCCTGTCTCTCCATCGGGCCACTATTTAAAAAGGATCCTGAGGAGTGATAGAGAGATGGGTGGCCCTGTGGTTAAAAGCACTTGTTGATCTTCCAGAAGCCTGGGGTTCAATTCCCAGAACCCACACGGCGGCTTCCAGCTGCCTATATCTACCATTCCAGGGGGCTTGCTGCCATCATCTGACCCCCGTGGGCTCCAGGCCTGAGTGTGGTGCCCTTGCCTAAGGCAGGCAAATATTCATATACACAAAATAAAAATAAACAAATCCTTCCTTAAAAGCATACTGAGGATGCAAATGAACAAAATCTAGTATTTTTGGCTGGGGGGGTGTGTGTCTACTGACAACAGAGATGAAGAATGAAATGGTCATTACGTTGCTTAGGAAAACCAGTAAAAAGCCAGGCTGCCAGGAAAGGCAACCTTTGGCAGTTCTGAAAAAGAAGTGACTTTTGCCCATGACTAATAATGAAATTGATTTCCAGGAATGGAATAAAGAAGATTTAAACAAAATCTATCCCCGTGTCCAAATAATATGTTAACTCTAAAGGGCAAAGCAGTGACTACTCATCAAAACATTTTCTGGGACTGAGTATTACTAACAAGACTAGCATTTGAATGTTTCGGTGTGTTTTATCCAGTCATGTATTTTTTCGTTGGCACCGATGTTTTTGAGGAGTTAAGCGGCAAGCAGAACCTGTTCTGAGATGTTCAGGTCACTGGTGTCTGAAGAGTCAACTGTGACCTAGACAAGCAGGGCTCACAAGCTGTCCCGGTCTCCAGAACCGAGCCTGCGTCAATGGAGCCATGTGTATAAAGTCTCCCTCAGTACTTACAGATGTATTTCCACATTGCTGCTGGGCAGTTTAAATGGGAAGATCTCAGATTCCAGGAAACAAGACATGTAAAAATCAGGAGAACCCATTCGGGCTTAAAATTCCCAAGTTCACCCAAAGATTTTTTTCTGCCCTTGAAAGCTTCTGTTGTCTGACAAATCTATGACAATCAACTACCCCATGTACCACCCACACCCAGAAAAAAGAAATGATTATTTTGCTGAGAGAGACAACTGACTGTTGCCCGAGTATTGTTTTCTGGCTTCTGATCTAATTTGGTGTATAAGAGCCAAACATGCGAGTTAAGTTATTCCCTCCCTAGAGCAACTTGGCTTCGATAGTTTTCATTAGTATTCATCTGGGATGCCTTCACAGTGAATATTTCCAATATTGGTAGGTGGGTGGGGTGGGGTATGTGATCCTGTCTACATACGTGCATGTGTGAGCGTGTGCGCGTGCATGCGTGCATGCCTGTGTTCCTTATTTTTTTTTTTTTTTGAGACAGGGTCTCTGACAAAACCTGGAGCTCACTGATTTGGTTGGGCTGACTGGCCAATGAGTTTCCAGAGATGTCCCCCCAAAACACACACACACACACACACACACACACACACACACACACACACAGTCTCTCAGCACCCAGTGCTGAGGTTACAGACACAAGCCACTGTGTCCGGCCCTTATGTGGGTGCCTCGGAGCTGTGCTTAGATCAGCTTAGAGCAGCTCTTCACCAACTTAAGCCATCCCAGGCTTCTTTTTTTTTCCACTGTCACTTTTCACTATGTAAAACATGTTCCTTGAATATGAACTGATTTCATTCACACACCCTTCTTTAGATAAGTACCACCACTTTGGGTTTTACAAAGGAAAGAATGAAAAGAGATGAGAGGCTATGATGTCACCTGCCTGGGGCCAGCAAGCTGTTATCCACGGCTCCTCTAGGGTGGTAATCCCTTAATATAAGACTGACTAACTTTCACCAGTTAAATCTAGAACTTGTGCTCCTTGAGTGAGCTTTTCATTTCATCAGAAAAAAAAATCAAAAGGATTAATTAATGTGGCAAAGTGAGAATTTTCCACTTAGAAAAAAAATCCAGACTCTCTATCTGTATGCCAGTAAGCCAAAACTTGGAGCAAAGTGAGGGGTCAGGGAGCATGTGCCCATTGCAGGAATATGCTACTCCCACAGTTTAAAAAGCAGAGTCTTGAAAGTTCTTTTTATCCGGAGCCAAACGCACTTACCAAGCGCGCTCCCCAGGCTACGGGAGCCCAGCTGGTTTTCCTTCCTTGACTACCAGCTCCCTCCCTCTGTGAGTCCCACTTTCTGCTTGGAGTCCTTCCAGTTAGTTGAGATGGTGATGCCCCATCCTAGTGACCTTGATAAGTAAACAGCCATATGGATGGTTGATCATTTGGGAAGGGAAGATCTGGATAATACTGTACGTCGTGTCCACGAGCCAATTATTAATAGCAAGACAGATACTGTACTGTAGAGATGCTTAAGTATTTCTCTGCCTGCGCCACCTGGGAGGGGAATGTTAGAGATTCTGCCCCTTGTCCTTTCATTGTCCTTTCATCTCCGTTCCTTAGGGAGACCTGGCAAGAGTCAAAAGAGATGGACAGTTTGGATTAGGGAAGAAGAGGAGGAAGTAGCCTGCCCTGAGTTAGATACCAATGTTTCCATGTTTCTCTTCATTTAATTTGAAAAAAATCCCTGCAGAGTCATCTCATAAAAAAAAAAAAATCAGCGAACCTACTTGGAATTTCCTAATGGAACCATTTCCAAACATCCTGCTTCTCTTTGGTATTGGCTCCAAACTTAGTTGTCTGGTGGCTGCATCTTCATTCCTGTACTCAGACTGTTGTCTTCTCCGGTTATTTTCTGTGCTTACTATTAAATCTTTCTAATCTGATGCTTCAAGGATGCTCTTTGTCAAATTCTCACACAACGGTGGTTGGTTAAGGGCTATGGAGATATCTCAGTTGGTAAAGTTCTTGCTGGACAAGAATGAGGACCCGAGTTTCATTCCTCGCACTCACACAAAAGCTGGGCACAGCGGGTGTTCCTGTAATGCTAGCATTGGAGAGATAGAGTCAGGTAGGTTCTTGGAGCTCCTTGGCCAACCAGCCTAGCTGACCAGATGAGTTCCAGGTTCTGTGAGAGTTTGTATCTCAAAAAAAGTGAAGTAGTATGCTGGCTAGTTTTATATCAACTGAGCACAAGCTATAGACAGACACCTGAGAGGAGGGAACCTTGATTGAGAAAGCACTTCCACAGGCAAGCCTGCAGGTCATTTTCTTGATTAGTGATTGGGGTTGGTGGTCTTAGGTTTTATAAGAAAGTAAGCTGAGCAAGCCATGAGGAGCAAGTCAATAAGCAGCATCCCCCCATGGCTTCAGCATCAGCTCCCGCCTCCACGTTCCTGCTCTACCTGAGTTCCTGCCCTGCTTTCCTCCAATGATGAGCAATGGTGTAGGAGTATAAGCCAAGTAAGTTATTTCCTCCCCGGGTTGCTTTTGGTCATGGCGTTTCATCAGAGCAATGGTAACTCTAAGACAGATAGAGTACAAATGAGAAAGACACCTAACGTGGACCTCTGGCTTCCATGGGCATATGCACATGTGTGTGCTCGCATGTACACACCTGTAGGAACATGTACAGATACACTCTCCAGTCAAAACTTTCAAAAGTATCACATAGGGATGGAGAAAGAGCTTAGTGAGTAAAGCATTTGTCATACAAGCCTGAGGATCCAGTTGGAGCCCCAGACCCATGCAATGGAACATGGAAGCTGCAGCTGGGGAGATTCCTGGGGCCAGTCTAGCCAATCAATGAGCATTGGATTCACGGAGAGACCCTACCACAAAAAATAAAGTGGGGAAGAATTGAAAAAGGCAATCCTATAGTGACCTCCATGCACAAACACACAAAAGCTGGCACACACTCAGACATGCACACAGTTCATATATAGACTGGTCTTGAAAGACCTGAGTGTTAAAGCCTGGGTCTCTAGGGCCTTTCTGTTGGCAAAGGGTGGAACATAGAAGCAATCCAGGCTTCTGTCCTTTCTTGCAGACATGAAATAGCCAGAGATTTTTGTTTAGTTTAGTTTAGTTTTGTTTTGGTTTGGTTTGGTTTCCACTCTCCACATGCTCTCCAGCATGGTATGTGCTATGCTACTTTTCCACAGTGAAGAAAACCTCCAAAGCTGTGAGCCCGCAATAAGCCTTTCTCTCTTCCCAAGCTGCCGTCTCAGGCCTTTGTCGTCTCAGTGGGAAGCTGAGTAGATTCTGGGTCGGTTTATTATCACTTCCCTTCGGACCAGTGCTCTTCTAAGACAACCCAAAGAAGAAGATTCAGTACTGGGAAACTGGGACCAGAGGGATGACAGGTGGTCTCCTGGACATTTGGCCTAGGTGTTTCAGTGGGGGACCAAACTGCTCCCTGGAATGATTCCTTCCCTGTACTGTTCCACCTTTCTGCCTGCCATTTAACAACTGCGGTGTCACCAGCATTTCGTGGTCCTGAGAGATTCTTTTACTTTACAGTATCCATGTGCTGACTCAATTCTAGCTTTCTTTCTACAATGGTTTTCTTGTCCTTGTCTATGGTGTTGTCCCCAGTTTTGTGGCACTCCCCTCTGACCCTGTATATTCTAGGAACTTGTTAGCCTTGGAACTCATTGAGTTTTTGGTATCTTCCTGCCCAATGCCTCTGACTTACTGGAAATGTGTGGTTCATGTAGGACCATTTAGAGCTTACTGTTAGTGTTGTGTTCAAAAGACATTTTCCTGTCCCTGTTAACATTTTCAGTCCAAATAGTAATCCCAGAAGGATGTTTGCATCTACCGTGGACAGACCGCCTGAGCTGGTGATGGCCAGGTTGCCTCAGGTAAAGTATATCAACCAGACTGTGTTATTGCTGAGAAGTTCTCTGGCCTTCGTAAGAGAAGGAGAACAGCAAAGTCTTCCTTCAGGATTTGCCAGGAAAGCATTAATGCCTCAGTTCTTACCTAAATGCCTACTGAAGTTAGAACCAGAGCAGACAGATTTAA